AGCGCTCTTTTGAGGGTAGTGTCAACGAAAAAAAACGCTCCAGTTTCATGGTATAGATGTATGACCGGAAACCGGAAATCGGAACACCCTGAGGACTTGAGGGTCTACAGCTAATGCTCATAACTCTCTTTTGTCACGATAATCGAACACTTGAGAACGAACACAGGTTAATGAGTGCTCTCATTTGTAAGGCTGCGTTCAGACTTCGCGATGACGCGCGTAGACGCGCTACCTTTGCAATAGCGCTCAAAAGCTATAGAAGGAAACGGAGCAAAGAGGGGTATCGATCGGCGCCGGCCGCTTGTGTTTTGGGGGGCATAGGGAACAAGGGACTAGCAGACTAGCCCTACCTGCTGATCCTCCTATTCTCCTATACACTCTAAAAGACCAGCGCACACTCTCTAAAGCTGCGTTTATGCTTTACGGCAGCGTCCACCAGCGTTTCAAGCGCCCACCAGCGACTAGGAAAGTTTAAATATAGCGTGCGCCAGTGTCTCTTAGCGTCAACCAGCGTCCACCAGCGTCCAGGAGTAGAGAGCATGGGGAAGTGGGAGGGTAACAGACTGCTGGTAGAGTATGGGGAAGTAGGAGGGAGTAGAAAGCTGGATCAGGCGTCATGAAATTGTGGCGTGTGGAACCGCACCGTACTACTGCTAAAGCAGAGAAATATTTAATTTGATGTACGGTATTGTGAGTAGCACGACGCGACCGCACACGCCACAACTTCATGACGCCTAATGCAGCTGTCCGCTCCCTCCTACTTCCCCATGCTCTCATTTCCTGGACGCTGATGGGCGCTGGTGGACGCTGGCGTTCGCTAGATCGACATCCATGCTCTCCTAGTCGCTGGCGCTGATGGACGCTCGAAAAGCTGGTGGTCGCTAGTGGACGCTGCCGCAAAGTATCAAACTAGCCTAACACTATCCTAACTTCCTATAACCTCCAAAAACACTGACGTGCGTCATCGCGATGTCTAAGCTCAGTTCACGGCAGCGTTTATAGTTCGCTAGATTGGAGTCCCCGCATAGAAGACTGCTCATCTCCCAACATAGATCTGCGCGATTCATATGGCTCTATTCTTGGAACATCACTTCGAATGCCGCGTCCGCCCCTGCGAACTATAAACGCAACGCACTAATCGATAACCAACCAAGGACAATGCATGCGATTGAAGAAAGTAAGAAAGTAAGCGGAAAATTCTCACAATTGTGCGACGACGTTCTGCATGACGTCACGTGTTTGGTATAGATTGAAATGTCTGCCCTTGACGGTCCTTCACCAGGTAGAATGTTTGGATCCAAACGACCACCGTATCCGGGTGATACGGTAGATGGTTGCACTGCTGTGTAATTCGGCGTGGTGACAGCCGGTCGACGATAGATGGGCGATTCGCTACGATGTCGCTCGTACCGTCCGTCGTCGCGATCTCGTCGATACCTGTGCGAACTGTGCGAACGCCGCGAGCGTCGTCGCGGCGGTTGAGGTGGCGGAGGTATCTTAGGCCTTTCAGCTCTGTCACGCTTCGGTTCCACGTATAGCGGACTGGAGGGGCTGCGAGACATATTCCCGTTGGTGGAAGTAATCAAAGGAGCAGATGGTAATGCCGTCGCGGGACGGCGCACTTGCTCATATCCACCTTGCGATGACTGACTTAGAATCGGAGTTTCACTGTGCTGGGTACGGTAGTCGAGTTTCGTGTCGGGAACCGCCGGATGAGAAACGATTTCGTGATAGCCAACAGATTCGGATGGTATCGGGCTCCTTGGATAGGGCGATCCTGAAGGCAAGAAAAGTTAAGGTAACAAGTCGTGATAACGTTGAAATAACTCCAAGACCATACCTACTGAGATCCTCGTTCGAACTGGTTATTACTGGGTGAGAAACTGTTGAGAACTCCGTTGGAGACTTAACGAAATATGCAGTTCTGCTCGTAGAGCGCGGTAGCAACCTGAAAAGATGGGTGGTTAAGGCTACTGTACCGTATATAAGCCGCCCTTTTTTAGTCGGGCAGCCTCTACAGTTCGCGATGACTGCGCGATCCAAACGCTCCTTGATCCCTCGAATTGTAAGATCAATACATCTGAACGCGCGATCGCTGGCGTCGCGAACTATGAACGCTGCCCTACCTAAATCGATGGGTTCGCGCGTTATTGGTGACCATGTGGGCGGAACAATGCAGTACTTTTGCATACTAAACGTTTAATACAAGTTAGGAATGCTTGAGAATGCTACTGGATGACTCCGCTCTTACAGCAACGCAACTTCTGGACTCATTGGGAAAACTCGTTGATTGACGGCTCGCCGCAACTTGCAAAGCAACAGAATGGGCCCACCAGGGCATGTACTGCTACTGTCCTGCCACTGCGGAAAGTTTTGTAAGATGCGATCCTCCCTATGAAATTCCTGTCTCTGGTTCAACCCCCGCCCTTTCCCATCAGCGTCCGGCACCCTTCATGGGTTTTTCGAAGGCTTCGAGCACTTTTCAAGGAATTTTTTCCAATTCACTCCAGTTCAGTTTACCCCACGCAGCGGACCCGATCTGTTGGCGGGATTTTTGTGCGGGTCCGTAGCGACGCCCCCTTTTTTAAGGTTCAGCACCACACCCTCTGTTCTCTCCTCATCGAGCTGTCGAGCGGGGGGGATAGGTACATATGAAACAGGAAAAATCACGGAAAGTCAGGCAAACTTCTTCAGAAGGTCAAAGGGGAAAACGATCCCGCCTCCCAACAACGAACAAGTACGACGCCCCCCCCCCCTTTTTCACCGTCCCGCAACAAGAATATCAACTATAAACTAAATTTTTCTCAGCCCTAATGCACTCCCTCCCTCTCGGCGAACCAGAACGACCCTCTATAGGAAGAATCCCTTAACGATGTGCCTGCCCCTCATGGGGATAGGATATATAGCGCACATGAGACAGGAAAATGGAGAAAAGCCACATACCAATACATTTTTTTCAAGGCACTCTTCACGACCCAAATCCTCGTCCTGTGACAGAATAGTACCCTAGCTTGGGATCAGTCCACCGTAACAACAGTGCCTCGGCTCAGGCCTTGTTCCTAAAACTCGCGTTTCTAAGCCGCACGAACGTGTTCGTGTGGCGACGAGTAGCGAGGCAGCCTCCCGAGTGTGCTTATAGCTCCTGGATAGGGGAGAGTTATCAACGGTAAGGAGGTTGCAAATTTTTGCAGCGCCTGCTGCCGCAAGCTCGAGAATTCCCGACCCGCAAAAAAGATTCTGGATCACCCACAAAATGTAGCACAACTAGGCGGAGAACTGTAGAAAGTGAATAAGGGATATAGTAAATCAATAAGTCTTCGCTACCGCTCATCAATGAGCTTTCACGGTTGGAAGTTGGAACTGTCGACGAGCTGGAGGGTAGTGGAGAGGTTACTGCGTTCGCGAAGGGTGATCGTTCACCGGCATATGGATCGTAGCTGAAAACACAAGCATCAATAAGGGTAATCAATCAATCGATAAGCGGAGCATACAACAGCACGTACACATTTCCTCTTCCTTGTTGATGCTTCAACACGTCTCTTTCCACCTGAACCCGCCTTTCCATGCATTGTTTGAGCACTTTAACAGGGGCGATCGTTGATGGAGGTTTCTGTCCTAAAAATTTTGCTTGATATTTGTTGCTGAAAGTGATGCCATCCACCAAGTCAAGGCTCGCCCAGATTACTGGAGCGAGATCGCAAGCGCACTTGTGCCTCTTCTCTCTCATCTTTTAGCTGAGTCCACCCAACTTCCCTAGATTTTGCCAAACTTTCCTGACAGAACTGGCTCCAGGGGAGGGAGTGGGTAGGTGGTCACCAATCAACTCCCAAAACAATAGCGTTGGCATTGCGTATGTCTGCCCTCAATCGGTAGTGGTTTCACGGCGGAGCCAACAAGGGGTTCGGAGTCATACAGTACCCACACAGAACCATAGGGTGCTGTTCCGGTATAGAACGGCACATTAGATCAAGAAAATTGAACAAGCTGCCCATACCGGAGAAAAATTTATCGCGCTTGGAAAACTCCTCTCAGAGCCAGATACGAACCGCATCGACCAAATACGACTCCTCTCTCTGGCGGCCTGGTGCGACTCCCTCCCCCCCGCCCCTTAGGCATATTCCGCATTATGCCTGTAGCGAATGGCTTGCACTCAGGCACATAAGCTTATGCCCACGCGGTAACTACCTTTGACTGGTCCACTTTCATAGCCCGGTCCATTTACATTCTTCTCTCTCAGCAACACCGGCCGATCATCAACACTGGGTACCGGTGGAGGGGCAGAGCCACAACCCTATCCGGATTCGCTGGATCCAACTAAAGAAAGGCTTCATCACATCTAGTTCAGTTTATCAGATCTGCTCTGTGTTTCCTTACCGGGGTACGGAACACTTCAATTGTGGTAGTGGTGGTGACAGAATCGTTGATAAGCGCATCGGCATTCTGTGGATTGGCGGGATGACGGAGACTCGTCTCATAGGCGATTGGATGAGGAACGACCCTGAAAATAACAAGTTTCACAAACGTACGCTAGCACCGCGGAAATAGAGAGGGCGTGGCAGCATACTCCATCGGAACACGACCAGTAAGCGTTCTTTCTGAGATATTTGGGCTTGATACAACTGCCACATTTCCTGTCTTGTGCAGGGCAAACTCCGCCCCAAAAGTGACGTGATGAGCGTGGACCGCCTGAACTCTGGTTCCGACGCCCACTTTCTTGGTTCTTAACTCGATCCCCAAACAACAACAGCCGTGTGGTCAAGAGTGTAGGCTCGTGTCTGCACATTGAAGAGCTCTTTGGTCCGGATTCTAGCGAGACAAAAGAAACACCTTGCGAAAATAGTACCGATACCAACCCCAGCGCTAGACTGACAAGCCGGGTGATGGGTAGCCCAGGCACGACAAAAAAATTATTAAAAAAGGCGAAGAGCGGACCTCGACACTACGCTACGGAATACGCTAGGGAGAACAGGATTTCCTACATCTCAGGGAGCACAGCAATAGCAGGGCCTGGCGATTTTCTCTTACTTTTTTCGGCGTAGCTGGGCTTTGGTGGGGGCAGCAAATGGGTTAAGCGGAGCTTGCACAGCCCACCTTGTGAAGATATGTGAATTCATGTAACCAAAGTGGCTCACTTATTACACAGCTTTACAGGACTTTACAGGTCTCACCAGCGAAATGCCCCCTCCTGAGCTGAACATAGTTTTTTTCTTCACCGTGAACCATTTAGCGGCACACTTTCATATTCAAACCATCACCGTCGACATGTGCGATCGCGGAAAACGCCTTTGATTGAAAAATAAATTACGGGATATGGCTGGGCCCTGGTTGATGGGATCTGTAGTTGATAACGCTAGGGAATTACAGGGATACACTATTTGTTCAGTATCAACACTCAGGAGAGCAAACACTCAAAGATCTGAACAAATCCACGCCGAAACTTACAACGAAAGACACGCCCGAGCAGCTGTACTTTGTGAGCTGCCAGAAATTCCCTTGCATTTCTACACCAGCACTCCACACTCATCGCTCTCTTAATGGGAGGGGAGGGGAGGATTTCGAGGATCGAAGGATCCAAAAATGTGGCATGAAAACATGAACAGAAAACAGTAATGGCTCACCG